ACATAATGAATCAAGAGACTACTAGTCATACCAGGTGAGGCATGTGATCAGTAGCCTGCACTGGCAAATTTTTGATGCATTGAGGATATCCTCAAGAACACGAGAGTCATTAAAGTGATTACCTGGAGCATACATGGAGTGTTTCGGGAGTTCTACTCCCCGAACCCGGCCTGAGGCCAGGCTCGATTTGTAATAACTTGGTCCAACAGGCTGTTGCTTTGAGCAGCCAACAGGCCCACATATATTTTACGATTAAGGATTTTGGCGGCGCAGGGCATAAATTGCAGCTGTTGCAGGCAAATCCTTATTGCATATTAAAACTGCGAAGTTACATTGTTATTTATGAGTCGGATGGTATCCTTTGGGCCTAATTTTACAGGATGGCATGGTAGTCTCAGTTTTTCAGTTTGTAGTGGCATATGAAACGGATTTCAAGGTCACAACTTTTTTTGATACTTAAAAGATCACAACATACATCTGTCAGGTCCTGAAATCAAGCGAGGCCTTGAATAAGTCTCGAGAATGGTGTGGTGGTGGTTTCCACGGCAGAGTGGTGACTGGAGTGTAGTGAGAAGGCAAAGTGACTTCCGCAGTGTCAATGTTCATCTTACAGTCCGTCATCCTAAGGTTTCCCAACGTCAAGAAAACGTTCAATTTAAAGTGTCCTCTCCTAACCTACCAGAGGACCCAAAACAGAAAACGGGACAGTACGTCACTTTCGCGAGCCTCTTCCATTTTCCAGCACGACAATTTTTGGCCTTATGTAACGCATACGAGCGAAAAGCGACGTTCTTTGTAGGAGGACAGTTGCATCTTAACTATTGTCGTCAGTCGTGAAGGTCTCATTGTTGCTATGATTACTTAATGTATTTTAAGATTGTTCTCATGGTTGAATTTACGAAATCTAAATTTTACTAGTTTCCCATTAATAATGATGTCAGTGACTAGGCTACATTACATACAAAGTCACAATTTTATTCACTAGGCTACATCTTTCATTTATGTTTTAAATGTAATATAGAATGCCTTTGCTCCTTTAGCGCGCATTTCAGTGTATTATGCTAAATGATATCGGTTAACGTTTTCCGTTAACACGCGATCACACTTACGACATGACATTTGGAAGCCACTGTGAACAGAGAAGTACATAGGTTCCCGTGAGCACATTGCTGGGCGTCGCTACAGACCCGTCACGACCTATTTTGCTCCCAGACCAGGGAGTAATCCCGCACGTTGAGTCTTGGACAGTCGCTCGCGACATACAGACAGTATTTAAGATTACCATCCCTCGCCTTTACTCAGAAACGAACCTTCCCACTCACGCGCGCACGCACACAAACGTCCTTTTGAAGCTAATTCAAGAGTAACGTGACAATGTATGCAACGGCAGCGCACTTTATGTAGGGTAATTAATCATTACTCGTTTATTTAATTATGTAACGCACGGTGTTATTTGAAACCCTACCAAGATATTTCATGCTTATTCAGACATCGTACGAGGAAGCATTTGGAATTATTGCATAGTCATTTAAACTTAGTTTTTTTTATAAATAAATCAGTGACTAATACTTTCAGCATTACTTTGAACTTTTTTTTTTCCTATCACAGACGTGGCCACACATTTACAATGCTAACCAGCATATATACATTTTCTTCTGTCCTCCATGGACAGGGTTAGAGATGTGTTAAACATATAGTTCAGGGGTTTATTGAACAATCAACCACAGAAGGTTGCTTTTAAAATGCCAAGCTAACCTACTTTGAACTTTTTATTTTTAGTGCCACTTTGTGGTAAATAGTGCCATTTAATTTGGACGTTTTTGAAACTCCATCGTGGTTTTAATATCTTGGACTGAAGATATGGACTTGAATTTACATGTCTTGAGATGCTAGTGGAGTGTTTATTGCTGCAAATATCCATGTTTAGGGCTGAAAAATGTTATGGCGTTGACTTAAGAGTTCAGCTGGTTGAGCTGAGCTCTGGCAGCCAGTGCCAGATAATAAAATGTTAGTTATGGTCCGTAATGGAATGGTATAGCCTAGCCTACGTGATGGATTATTATGGGGGTTCCGTTACCATTTGTCGGGTTGATGAACATGGAATTTTGCGGTCATTCATATGTAGGTGTTCCCAAGTCTAGAATAAATAGATACTCCCGATTGATCTCACGATTCTGAATAACCTTTGGGTACAGGAGCTGGAATTCATCGAATCAATCTTGCGCCAGTTTTCAAGTGTATAACTTAAATGAGGTAATAATAAATTTAAAACGTTCTTTAGGGCACAAATTAGTAATTTTTTTTTATGGAACTTTGAGGCAAACTATCCAAATTAATACGCTTTTAGACACGGCTGTTAAGAAGGGGATATCTGAGTTTGTATGGAATGTCTGGGAGCTCTGAAACATGTCTGCTGAGCTGACTACATCACAGACTGACATCACAGTTTTTTTTTTTTTTTTTTTTTTTTTAATTTTGAAGATGGCTAACACAATCTACAAAATCTCTCCCCCCCCCCCTCTCTCCCACACCTCAGAAAATGTAATACGAAAGAATTCACCTTCGTTGTTTTCAAGGAAACCATAAAAATCGTTTAGGAGTAAGCATCGAAACTCTACAGAAGACACAACCTCTGATCTCATGTCAAATTTCATGAAAATAGCAGGGGGTGGGTGGGTGGGGTGAGTAGGGTTTAAATGCCAATATTTCTCAAAGCATGGGACTTGGGCCAACCCCGACTGGTCTATGGAACTTGTGTAGCACCTCCCCCTCCCCCCCCCCCCTCTCATCCTGTTTCAAGTTGTAACATTGGGTGAGGTTAGCCCCAAGCGTTTAGTCTCCTACTTCTGCCAGATACAAACACACAAAGCCACAGGCAAATTCTATTCTATACACATAACTTTTTTTTAAGTCCTAGATCTGTCGTAAGGTTGTTTACTTCTCCCCCCCCCCCCCCCTCACTCTTTCTAAATAAAAAGGACATTGAATCCTTTAATAACATTTCAAGGGATTAGGGACATTGAATCCTTTAATAACATTTCAAGGGATTAGGGACATTGAATCCTTTAATAACATTTCAAGGGATTAGGTTCTAGTGACCCTAATCCCACTTTCTGGCATGACGAGCTGTTTTTTTTTTTTAACTCTGTCGGTAGCTTATTAAACCTCGTCCTTTGATAGGGAATTTTGTGTAGTCATCAGCTCTTGGGGTTAAATTACGTATCAAAGAAAATGTGTCAAGGGGGACTGGCTCGCTTTTCTTTGCGACAAATAAACTAGAAATGCCTCAACTTCGCGAGTGTTGAAATGGCATAAGGTTATTCATATTGTGTATTAAACGCGGACTTTTCGTGGTAAAAATCTAATGTATATCGCTGATAGCTTAAGATAAAACAATTATTAGTCGGCTCAGTGTTTTTAAATCCTTAATATTTGGGTGTCTAACCTCGTTAACACAGTTGGCTCAAAATCGATTGGTCCTGGGTTCGATTCTCAGGCAGGACGAGAATCGTAGGCAAATTTCCTTTCATCTGATACCTATTTACCTAGTAGTAAATGGTTGCCCGGGAGTTACCCAACTGTTATGGGTTGCATCCTGGGCGTAAATCATGGAACAAGGGAGGCCTGGACAAGCCTAAGATGATGATGTTTTAGATTCAGCTACTCTGGAAATAGTTGCAAGTAGCACGGGCTATGGTGACCCCGTAGTGGACTTACCTGGCACAGGAGCGGTGCTGTGCAAAAGCCTACGAGGCTCTGTACATCCGTAGGGATATATAGTCCTACTTAAGACGGCTGATGTATTAATTCTGCGCTAGTACGTTTCAGATGTAATGTTACTTACACACAATTTAAACATTCATGCTGTTATAATATGCCTTACACGTTACAATATTTCGTATTTTGGCATATGTATTACTTTATGGAATGTACAAGTAAAGCAGATACTCTGATACATGTTTGGGGCTTAACTTTGATCACATTCACAACCACTACGGCCACAACAACCATCAACAACCACCACTAACAACCACAGTTATTGTTACGTATATAGGTATGAGGTAGTTTTGGCTGTGACAAAGAATGTTACTGTTGAGGGGGGACAGTTAATGAGCGTTGAGCAACTTGGCGTGTACCGTGACGTCCGCACAGCTGCCGTCCTTCTTCTCTACAAGGCTGGGTCAGTGACTGGCGGATGGAGCCACGTGAGTTTCCCCCCTATCCGCTACGCGGCAGCTTCTGTGGCAAGGCTCCACTGGCAAGGCTCGACCGGCAAGTTTCGTGGCAAGGCTCGACCGGCAAGTTTCGTGGCAAGGCTCGACCGGCAAGTTTCGTGGCAAGGCTCGACCGGGAAGTTTCGTGGGAAGGCTCGACCGGCAAGTTTCGTGGCAAGGCTCCACTGGCAAGGCTCGACCGGCAAGTTTCGTGGTAAGGTTCGACTCGTTCCAAACTATCACGAGTGGAGCCTGGCCCCAGGCCGGGCTTGTGGGAGTAGAGCTCCAGAAATCCTCTCCAGGTATGTTCCATGAGAGCTCCTATGTACATATACAAATGTTGGATTTGAGTAATAATATTTGCAGCAAAATACGTGTTTTTCGTTTATGCCAACACTATAATATTTAAACAAAGAGTGACCTTCAGATACAGTGTTGCGAAAGTTACATAAGAAACACTACGGATGCCCTGTACATGGCCCCGGCCCGCTAAGACCTTTGAATTGTCGGTAGGTCTAAGGTAAAGCGTAAATGTGAAAAGGTAATTTTATGCAAATGTTGAATTATATTTAAGCGAGACATACCACCTCCAACAGGGGTATGTATTTTTTTTTGTACTTTGTTTTACCTTGGTTGTATTTAGTTATGAACGTTAAGGAGCAGAGCGAGCGTTCCAGTGAGAAGTCACCCCTCATCTCGGGTAACGCGTTTTTTGTCCGCCTGGGTCCCCCTACGGTACGCCAGGGTTCCCTAGCGGTACGCCAGGGTCCCTCAACGGTACGCCAGGGTCCCTCAACGGTACGCCAGGGTCCCTCAACGGTACGCCAGGGTCCCTCAACGGTACGCCAAGGTCCCTCAACGGTACGCCAGGGTCCCTCAACGGTACGCCAGGGTCCCTCAACGGTACGCCAGGGTCCCTCAACGGTACGCCAGGGTCCCCCTACGGTACGCCAAGGTCCCTCAACGGTACGCCAGGGTCCCTCAACGGTACGCCAGGGTCCCCCTACGGTACGCCAAGGTCCCTCAACGGTACGCCAGGGTCCCTCAACGGTACGCCAGGGTCCCTCAACGGTACGCCAGGGTCCCCCTACGGTACGCCAAGGTCCCTCAACGGTACGCCAGGGTCCCTCAACGGTACGCCAGGGTCCCTCAACGGTACGCCAGGTCCCTCAACGGTACGCCAGGGTCCCTCAACGGTACGCCAGGGTCCCTCAACGGTACGCCAGGGTCCCTCAACGGTACGCCAGGGTCCCTCAACGGTACGCCAGGGTCCCTCAACGGTACGCCAGGGTCCCTTAACGGTACGCCAGGGTCCCTCAACGGTACGCCAGGGTCCCTCAACGGTACGCCAGGGTCCCTTAACGGTACGCCAGGGTCCCTCAACGGTACGCCAGGGTCCCTTAACGGTACGCCAGGGTCCCTCAACGGTACGCCAGGGTCCCTCAACGGTACGCCAGGGTCCCTCAACGGTACGCCAGGGTCCCTCAACGGTACGCCAGGGTCCCTTAACGGTACGCCAGGGTCCCTCAACGGTACGCCAGGGTCCCTCAACGGTACGCCAGGGTCCCTCAACGGTACGCCAGGGTTCCCTAGCGGTACGCCAGGGTCCCTTAACGGTACGCCAGGGTCCCTTAACGGTACGCCAGGGTCCCTCAACGGTACGCCAGGGTTTGACAGCTGAGTGGAGAGCGCTTCGGATTCGTAGTCCTGAGGTTCCGGGTCCGATCCCCTGTGGAGGCGGAAACAAATGGGCAATGTTTCTTTCACCCTGATGCCCCCTGTTCACTTAGCTGTAAAGTAGGTACCTGGGAGTTAGACAGCTGCTACGGGCTGCTTCCTGGGGGTGTGTTAACAAAAAGGAGGCCTGGTCGAGGATCGGGCCGCAGGGACGCTAAGCCCCGAAATCATCTCAAGATAACCTCAAGATGATATATGAAATAAGGGGTGCGTTTTAGTACCCCTTGTTTTGTATGTTGTGGCAAATGAAGAGGACGGGCTGGAAACTTGCCACGACGACCCCGCCAGGCTAGTGAGGTGAGAGTAGCCAGCGCCCTGGCGGCCGCCGCCAGGCTAGTGAGGTGAGAGTAGCCAGCGCCCTGGCGGCCGCCGCCAGGCTAGTGAGGTGAGAGTAGCCAGCGCCCTGGTGGCCGCCGCCAGGCTAGTGAGGTGAGAGTAGCCAGCGCCCTGGCGGCCGCCGCCAGGCTAGTGAGGTGAGAGTAGCCAGCGCCCTGGCGGCCGCCGCCAGGCTAGTGAGGTGAGAGTAGCCAGCGCCCTGGCGGCCGCCGCCAGGCTAGTGAGGTGAGAGTAGCCAGCGCCCTGGCGGCCGCCGCCAGGCTAGTGAGGTGAGAGTAGCCAGCGCCCTGGCGGCCGCCACCAGGCTAGTGAGGTGAGAGTAGCCAGCGCCCTGGCGGCCGCCACCAGGCTAGTGAGGTGAGAGTAGCCAGCGCCGTGGCCGCCGCCACCAGGCTATATGGCTGGAGCGCCAAGACCCGTCTTGTGGGGAAAATCAATTGAACTTCACTATCTCCCCACTCTGCTCTTTATGCCTACCCTCTTATATGTGTGCATGTCTATATATGTATATATGAACATGTTGGACTGAATGGGGGTGAGGATAGCTTGAGCTACCTCATCCCTTTGTGTGTATTTTACCTCAATAAACTTTATTTCTTACGTGTATGTCCTCAGGTGTAATCATACGGCCAAATGCCCTCGCTCACACCTCTAAATTAGAGAGGGAAGGGATCTATAAACAAAAGACTATATATAGCTCAGTCGATAAAGCTTCAGCCTCACATACCTTGGGATCCCGGTTCGAGTCTCCTACAGCCCAGGGGAATGGAAGGGATGTATGTGTTTTTTTTTTTTACTGCAATCGCTGTTTCCTCGTGTTGTGGTCATTGATGTGACCTGCCTGTGTCTTGGAGTGATTCCTGGAAGGCAAGGGACTGGAGCGAGGGTCTCTTGGAAGGCAAAGGACTGGAGCGAGGGTCTCCTGGAAGGCAGAGGACTGGAGCTCCTGGAAGGCAGGGGACTGGAGCGAGGGTCTCCTGGAAGGCAGAGGACTGGAGCGAGGGTCTCCTGGAAGGCAGAGGACTGGAGCGAGGGTCGCCAGGATGGCCGTCCGGCTTGGCTGTCTTCCACCATAAATATAATCTGCTACATAGGAAACAGTGAGGGGGGGGGGTTTACGGTGTTGTGGGGGGAGATGAACTGAATGGCATTGTCTCAGTTCCTGCTCAAGTTGTTTTTCTCGCAGACACAGTGCAGTAATCATAAGGCATATTTAATGCGCCACGCACACAAGCACGCACACGCACGCAAGCGCACATAATGGAACGCAAAGGGGACACTGGCGGAAACTAAGTACCGAAATGAGCCACAGGGACCTTAGAAACAGAGACTTCTCAGATACTGAAAAAGTCCACAGGGACTTTTTCAGTATCAAAGTACAGTAGTTAACAGATGGAATGCATTAGGCAGTAATGTGGTGGAGGCTGACTCCATACACAGTTTCAAATGTAGACATGATAGGGCCCAGTAGGCTCAGGAATCCGTACACCAGTTGATTGACGGTTAAGATGTGACCAGTCAAGACGGGACCAAAGAGCCAGAGCTCAACCCCTTGCAAGCACAACTAGGTGAGTACACACACACACACACACACACACACACACACACACACACACACACACACACACACACACACACACTCACTCACTCACTCACTCACTCACTCACTCACTCAATTTTCGTTGCCCATTGGAAGACTCTTCGCGTCATCTACGAATGACGCGAAACTGTACTGTAGCTTGTATTCCTGCTTGTACTCGCCTAATTGTGCTTGCGGGGGTTGAGCTCTGGCTCTTTGGTCCCGCCTCTCAACTGTCAATCAACTGACAGTTGATTGACAATCAATTGATTGGTTGACTTAACCACAATCAATTGTGGTTGTGGTGCTGTACAACCATGCGAGTACATGTGGCTAACCCTTTCTCCTCTTCCACCATCCTACCTCCACCCATCAAATGCAATTTTGTAACCATAAATTTTTAAGAGTTTACTGCAATACAGAAAGTTGAGGTCAACAGGTACACAGACACACTGCAGACAGTGTATACTAGGTCAAGGGAGAGAAAATGCGTTTTAATAAAGGAAAATGAAACATTGTCGAACCTTAAGAAAAAAAAAAGGTAAATATTGGTGGGAAAGTGTGACCGTACATGGGGGTGGGGGGGGGAGGGGAGGGGCGGTGCTGCGGAAATTTCCCGCGCGTTTAGTTTTTGTCGCAGAGTGCCGCTACGCCGTTATCACTTCCCGCTCCGTGCGCGCCCTCACCACCTTTTGTCTTTGACAGACATGCATGCATGCACTCCCCAGACTCTCAACCCTCCCTCACTTACTCTCTCTTGTCCCTCCTCCATCTCTACTCACTTACCCTCTCTTCCTCTAGCCCCCCCCCCTCTTTATCTTATCTCTCTCCTCTTAATCTTCCTTTCGCTAGCGTATCTCTCTCTCGCCCGTCTGTCATTTATACAAGGAAGCGTGCCAGAGTACTTACGACTCGGTGGTTAATTTTGTACCCCACACGCCCCACACATGGACAGTTAATGCTAACTTCACCTTGTGAGGTGAAAGGGGGAGGGGGCTCCCCGAGGAGGTGCCTGAGAGCACACTCAATTTACTTTGCCTACAAATGTTTTTTTTTTCCTTCAGCTTATTATCGTTGTAATGGGTCATTGTTACCAGCGGGCTTCCACTCCCCGAGATTTTGGCCTGTACCCGACCACCTCCTCCTCTCCAAAATAGTATAAGGTGCCTGTGGATTAATATGCCCTGTTAGCACCGATCCTGTGCCAGGTAAGTCTACTACGGGCTCACCATAGCCCGTGCTACTTGCCCCGCTCCTGTGCCAGGTAAGTTACGGGCTTACCATAGCCCGTGCTACTTGCCCCGCTCCTGTGCCAGGTAAGTTACGGGCTCACCATAGCCCGTGCTACTTGCCCCGCTCCTGTAGGTAAGTTACGGGCTCACCATAGCCCGTGCTACTTGCCCCGCTCCTGTGCCAGGTAAGTTACGGGCTTACCATAGCCCGTGCTACTTGCCCCGCTCCTGTGCCAGGTAAGTTACGGGCTCACCATAGCCCGTGCTACTTGGAACTTGTTCCGAGTAGCTGAATCTATAACAACAACAACAACAACAACAACAATATGCCCCAATGCTCAAGGACTTTTGCAGCACCAAGAAGTCAGTACCTACATTGATATTAATGCGACAAAGACATGAAAATACTTCCTGGCAACGAGCACCCTTTAAATCACCACTTAATCTTTAACTAAATTCTCATAATCCAGAGTTAATCTATTTACTTATCAGTCTCTATTCAGTTGTAGAGCGTCAATGTCTTATAATAAAACACTTCCTAACCGAAAAAATAATATGGAACTTAACTAAAATATAGCAGCTCTTCTGTCGAAGTCCTCTATTAAAGTCTTTCTTAACCTCTGACAATTTTAAAAGAGCTTCCCGGCTCTCACGACACAACAGTGACAGATTTCCGCGACCACATTTCTTCCTACGAGTTACGTAACCACAAAAACAACCCTGGCATGTATAACAGACACCAGTAGCCTTCAACAGTAGGTGAATTAACACTTACAGACAATTTATGTAAGTGTACAACAGTTATTAGCTATCCTAAATAGAACACTTAAAGTGGGTGATTTTAAGAGTCGCATGAGGTGAGGGACCAGATTAACCAAAGCACTTAGGAACCTGTACATCTTTTCTCAATCTTTGGAGGCTTTGTTTACAAAGATTAAACAGTTAATGAGCTCCGAAGCACCAGGAGGCTGTTTATAATAATATCAACAGTTGAATGAGACGTTTTCATGCTTGTAAACTGTTTAATAAATGTAACCAAAGCCGTCAAAGATTGTGGAAAGATGTACACGTTCGTAAGTGCTTTCGTGAATCTGGCCCCAGGCTACTGGCCTCTTGAGCAGTGTAGGCAGAGAAATAGAAATTCTCTATTTAGAGAATTAGGGATAGACATAGCCTAAGCTACTCTACACCTTTTAGATCTATTTTATTGTCAATAAACGTACTTGAACTTGAGCAGTAATTGAAATTGAAATAAGTTTATTGAGGTAAAATACACACAAAGGGATGAGGTAGCTCAAGCTATTCTCACCCCGTCCAGTACATCGTGTTAATACATACATAGACACACATCACAACCAATAAACATATTACCGAACATTCTGAGAGATAAACATATACATTTTCCCCTTTACACAAGTAGTATGGTATCAGACGTACACACAGTAATTGTCCCGGATCACTTATTACAAACATTGATGGGTCTGCCTGTTACCCCACATACAAAATCGTAATTACATTCTAAAATGCACGATATGCAGTAAGCTGAACTCGATTACACAATTTCCTGTTGCTTTCTCCTTTAAGAACAATCATAAGCTTAGCAAGCAATTTGCATACTCTGTATGACTCTCTTTACTGCAAAAACAATATGTAAATTAAGTTACAAGTCAACCTTGACTCTGTGCTTATATTATGCTATCAGGCTGCCGCAAATTTGCATATCCTAGCCTAGCAATCCTTTAAGAAATAAATATTTATCTTGGCTTCACAGTTGACAACATAAAAGAATCAACATTG